AAATTAAAACTAAAAATCTGCGTACAATATACAAAACAGTGTAGTCCAAAAGTCAATAAAGTCACCATCAGTAAGCTAAAGGGGTCTACAGACCAAACCCGCCGACCCGGGCGGGATGGTGTCGGCTGCCTTGTTTCTAGAATCATGTCGTAGGATTAGATTACAAATAAGGCCGCCGATACCAAGCCGGGCTGTGTCGCCGGGTCGGCGGGTTTGGTCTGTAGACCCCTTAGTAACAGCCCAAGCACAATTACCGTAGGGTAAGTAATTGAGGAGTTGGGTAATCTGCAGGCTGTTCCGGTTGCTCAGAACAAGGTTGCTATATTATTGTGTTCTGGTCTGTGTTCCGGTTTTGAAGGGTAAGGGTGAAATTATAAGCACATGGAACTGGTCAACTTATGTCTCAGGGTGACGCAGCGGGAGTGTCCCTCAAATATTTGAGTGGCGCTGCAACTACTATAGACAGCTTACTATCAGGCAACCGACTTGTTCGTCTCGTTACAAAAAAAAACCCAACATCGGTCATAATCTGTAGCAAATACGAATCAATTATGCGAAACTTTCGTATATAAAAATTATGTATTAAGTAGAATCTATAATGACGTCACTGTATCTAAAACCGCAAAATAATCTGAAAGTAAAAGTCGACCCCTTAAAGTTTGCTAATTAGCATGGCGAGTCACGTTGTAAGGCGTGTTCTGAGATCGAGGACAACATCACGTTCAAGTACAGGAATATAATCATGCTGAATCTATTTTTTAACCTTTGCATTTCAAATGCTTCATTTTCTAAACGACTTCAAACAAATATTTCTTTCGTATGTACGTTACGCGGCTACTCCTAACGTTTGTGGTCCCATTCAATTTTGGAGAAAATATCCCACCTTTAAGGGTAGCAAATTAGGAGATGAATCTACTAAACCAGTCTACTAAATCACTAAACCAGTGGCAGCTGGTGAAGCAATAATGTGAGAATTACTGCGTTCCGATATGGAAGGGTAAGGGTGCCGGTGAAATTACAGGCACATGGGACTTGTCTACTTATGTCTCAGGGTGACGGGTGCGGTGGCAGTGCCCTTCAGATCTTTGCGATTTAAAGCTCTGAGTGGCACTGGAACTGTTGTGAACAGACGTGTAGCTTACCACCAGGTAAACGACTTGTTCGCCCCGTCAGTTGATATTATAAAAAAACAAAAAACTTTCCGTTAACCGATTGCAATAAAACTTGGCAAACAGATGTAATTCCACTAACTTATTATCAAAATAAAAAAATCCATGTTGTTTATAGAGATGGGGCAGTGCGTCATGTATGTTTATCAAACCGCACGTTAATGGTTTGCCATAATGCGGAAAAATGGTTGCGTTTATGGCTCGTATGACAAAATGTCATAACGTCATCCTGAAAATAATTGCAAGCAGGTTTGGTTGTTAAATCTAAATATATTGGCTAGGGAAAATCAAACCTGTGTTGATGTATATATTAAATAATTAGTTTTATTGTATTAGTCTTATTTTAACGATATTTTATTTGTACATGACATATCTATTATTGATAAAAAGAACATGAACCAGTAACTGTTGCTTCACCGTGGCTACTTCTTTTACCAACTATGCTTTAGGTCGAGTCAGCAGGTCTTATGAAATTCTCTTTGTTAATTTGTATTAATTAAAAAACATCACAAAAAGAATACTTATTAATCTACACATGGCGGAACAACAAAAATCTGAGTAGGTTTATACGTGCACCGCACATAGGCCGTAATATAGTCCGTACAAAAAAAAAAAACAAGTAAACAAATAACGCCTTCGGAATAATGTGATTGCTATAGACCTTTGTATTGGTTTAAACAGCTTCTACTATACAAAGATACTTTTACAATATAGAAAGATACAAAAACCGAACAAACACAACGAAAAAATCCATCGATCTGACTGGGCTCGAACAAGCGACTGTTGCCTTAACGTGGCTACCTTTGTGCCAATTGTGCGTCGGATCGATCTTGTACCTAGATCTTATCTTACGAATTTTTCCATGTGCTCACTTGTTTACTTTAGCGTTAGTTTGTATAACAGTACTTACTGACGTACTTTAAATTAAAATGTTTCACTAACATATTATTATGATATGGGTCTATGATTCCTGAAAACAAAAAAAATATATTCTATTCAATGAGAAAACGTCAAAAGATGTGAAGATGCTATTAGAATTCAACTTGAAATAAATGAATTGTACTTTTATGTTTTAGTCGGTCGATATGTTGATTTAAATGAATGATGTCGGTTTTTAACTTAAGTGCTTTAGTCTACCTGCCTTAGTTGTGGTAAGAGCTTTTTGACCTGGTTAGTTCTATAATATGTAGTAGATGTGATGAGATCGAAAGACGTTAGAAAAATAAAGAAGCATAGTCAGCTTAGCAAAATCAGTAAATGGGAAGACTGGGTCACGGAAAGATATTTAAGAAAGCTGAAATTTGTCAATTTTAGATTCGTGAATAAGTATCCATGTTCATTTTAGAAATTTAAGGAATTGAGATCTGATCCATAAATGAAGTAACAAGTACGCATATGGGTAAGTTCCATCATACTTTGTGGTTCTTATAGCAAATTTCGAAGAAAAGTGAGTAAATGAGCACCCAACAAATCGGTTGTAAAGTAGGCAAATGGTCTGGGAAGCAGTTAAGTTACGGAAAATCTCGCGGTCGACCACAGCTTAGATTAACTGATGCTTCAGATGTGCTGCTGAAACGAGCTATCCAATTTTGTATGGTAATGTACTAATTTACCGTTTAACTGCTATCTATAAGGATCATAAAATTTAAGATGTTGGTGAAACCAATTTTATGACTATACTTCTTCACTGTGACAACAAAATACCGCCGTAATTACTCGTGAATAAGAACCATCCACTTTTCTACAACCCTATTAATTATTTCAACCGACCGAATAATTTTAGAGATACGTACTAACTCATTGTTGTCCAAATTTTGCAAAGTCGTAAGGGACGCGCTAGACAGAAATCGATGGAGGCAGATCATCCTCTTTGAAAGTGGCACGAAGTTGACCATGATCCTCAGGCATGAGGGAACGATTAGGGAGAAAGAGAGATACTTGCTTGGAGCTATACACGATGTGAATTTTTTGAGTTCCAAGAATTTTATAAGTTTGTATCATTGTCTTAGTGGTCACTTCTCGTCTTAGGACAAGACAGTATATGAACGTGTCTTTGGTTGCTTGCCAAGATTTATTCAAGGGACTGATTAAATCCTGGCTACGCCCATGGATTGGAGCTTCATAACAATCACCAAACTGCTACCTGTGGTTGAGGATGGCTGTTGTGGTTTTTAAATTACTGTAATGGTGTTAAGTCAGTGCTATATTATCTAATATCGTAACCAATACCAGATTACATCAAGATTTCAGAAATATAGCAAAACGGCTTACACGTCGCCCAGATAGCCGGCGAGTCAATATTTGAAGATTTAAATTTGGAAACACCAAGAACCAGAAAAGGTAATCACAATACTTTTTATGTCTTTATCTTTAGGGAAAGATCACAGGACCAGTTAGTAATTTCCGAGATATTGACACCCAAAGTTTTATTGTCACCAAAAAATATATACCAATTAAGCTGATTTGGTTTTTTTGACAGTAAAACTGAAACTAAACAAGGTATTAAAATTAGAGGGAGTTGTAGATCTCGTTTGGCTCTTATATTGGCTTGTTAGGAAATGAGGAGGCGGACCTTTTAGCCATTGCGGCTGCTGCAGATGGGCCCGTGGTTGACAATGTGCCTGATTTCTATGAAGTGGTCGTAGTCTATAACAGCGAGTTCCATTTTCGTTGGAAGGAGTATTTCGATATGAGGACCCGGGAAAAGGGAATCGGTACAAGACCATACAAGGTGAGCCTCCACGTATTCCTTGGTCTGACCACATAAAATTAAACAGGGGTCAAATAGTCATCGCGCATAGGCTGCGATCCGGATCGCAGCCTATGCGCGCTATGGGACATGTTCCATTAAACTAACGTTTGTATTCGATGCGAAGGGCGAATGAAGGTTTTGTCAGAGCGAACATTGGTGCCACGAAGATTTTGTATATATGTTTGATTAAGTAGTATTTTGATTTATCTGTCTGGATTTATATTAAGTGTTTTCTTAATATATCGTTTTTATAATGGACCCGACATACAACATAATGATCAAAGCCCCTAAATAAATAAAGAGTTAAGAAAAGATCTCATTTCGCTAATTTCAGATATGTTAATAATTCAATTTAGCTAGAAAATGTTGTGATAAGGAGGTTGTAGTCTATTGAATATATTAATTTTATTTGGATTTAATATTCTGTTTACGCCAATGTGAAAATCTTCGTTCTAAGTTTCTATCTCACAAAGATCTAAGCTATATACCTATATGGTATTGAAGACTAAAGTAGGGCCTAAGATCGTGCTCTGAAGAACTCCTAAGTTTAACATTGAGTTACCAAGTAAATAATTTACCAAGTTCTGTATTACTTGAATGAAACGTCCTGTGTAATGAACACCCGGTTTTTGGGCCAACTTAGTACACTCTCGTCCACATTTTCATGTAGGACAACTTAAGCTTCATTCTAAAAAATAATGTAAAAGAACGATCCGATAGTATATTCGATATATAATGTAGCTATTGTTAGTGCCGTTAGTGATAAATGACAATATTATCTTATTACATATTGGAAACAAAGTTAAGATTATTAAAATAACATTGTCGTCTTCAATCTCTCCTAGTTTTATTTTACGATTCGTGACAAGAATCTTAATGCTTTCGTTAATACCACGGCAACCTACATACTCGTGATAAACGTTTAGAATAATAATGATATATTAATACAATACTATATACTGTTATCTCGCACAACGGAGCATAAATAAACAATAAAATAGAAAAGAAAACATAATACAAAACAAACTAAAAAAACAACTATGTAACAAAAATCAGCAAAAGATTAGAAAAATAATTACCTTAATTGTAGTAAAAATGTATCCATAACGGCCACCAAAATCACTGATTAAAGTTTTGTTTACGTTCGAATTAGGTTAACGGAAAGAGGTCAAAAGAAAGGCGTCTGCTGTATACGTGCGGTGCGCGAGCGTTCGGACGGCTTACTAGTTTGGAACTTTAGTGTTGGATTCTGCGAGTGTGAGGAGGAGAGAGGTTTCTAGTCTCTTTCACGCCTTGAAGAAAGGATGGACAGTAAATTTATCGATAGGATGCTATTGAATAATGACTTAGTAGAACAGTGAATAGAATTTGTCATTTAAATTTGAGCTCAATCGATGCAGGTTTCTTGTGGCACAATTTCCACACGAATATTGGTGTCAAAAACCCATGTCTCACCATTTCAGGGTTGAAAAGTAACTTAACTTAAAGAACCAGTATGTTATGAACGACCAAATATTAAAAAGAATAAACTCTACGTATTTATCATTCAAGAATTATTGTGGGTGAGCAAATAGAAACGGCTGATATTGATCATATTGTATTACAAAGATCAATGAAAAATGTTAGAACACCCATAAGTTAAAAAAACGCAATTTTTTATCGATGTCGAAATCCACATTTTTCCCATCACTACGTGCCAAACCATGTTCAAGAGCAAGGTGAAGAGATCTGGGTCTTTGACCATGTGCAGTGGACGATGACAACGACCGGTTAAACTGCGCGCTTAACTGTTGTTTAACTATGGTTAAAATGTAGAGATAAAGGCTCGTCAAACGAATGAGCTTTTTTGTTACGTTTTATGTTGACTAAAGTAAAATACGTTTGTTAGTATTGTGCTATGAAATAGATATTTGAACAACACATGGCGCATGATAATCTCAATATAATTATATTCTGAAATGTGAGCGATGGCTTCACGTGTGGTTTCGCTTAGAAAAGCAAATTAACTCAAATTTCGGAACACCACTTTTCTAATTTTGATTCAGTACAAGTTGTAATGAAATGCATACTTTTTAATTTTAAAAAAATCAGTTGCTTATAACACACGTAATTGCATCTACAATTTTTGGTTTTGTGTTTTCTAGAGAGCTTAATACTTGTTATTCGAGGACATTTTTCAACGACATCAAACATGCAGCTTGATTTTGATTGCCTTTCCCGATCGGAAACTGCGTCTCTTGCGTGTCGAGCCGCATAATTGCGATTCACAACTGGCCGATCGGAAAATTTTGACATATCAAATCAGAACTATAGTTGATTTAACTCACACATTAGAAATATATAGTAGGAATCAGGTTCATTTTCTCGGTCGGAAACCCATCTGATTTCGAGACTACCCGATCGGTTCGATTCCTATTTGAATCAAAATCAGCATGAAGGAGGAGGTTCTCAATTGGACTGTATTTTTTGTGTTTATTATACGATTACTCGGACAATTGTAAACCGGTTTCGATAATTCTTTTTTTTTTGTTGGAAAGGCCATTTCAAGTCAGTAGTCCCATTACAATTTCAAGAAAATATTCCACTTCTTAGGGCGCGTTCGCATTATGTCGTTTTAACCGATAGTTAATCAGTTCAAAGTGTTGTGGATTGTATATTTAAATGAAGTTGTTTACACATAGAACAACACGATTAACTGTCGTTAACGAGTTTTTTGACGTTACGACGACAGACTGTTGTGACAATGGGAAGAGCTAGAACGACGATAAAAATGTGACGACAGTTTGTCGTGTGAACGACAAGGCGGCTGCCGTGAACCGATAAATTGTCGTCACGATCTAGTGGGAACGGCTGGACACGACAGTCGTTCAACGATAATAAACGTCCACGACACAGTCACGACAGATAGTCGTGATATGGGAACAGGCTACAGTCGCCCAACGTTAAATAAATAAAATTTCACGAAAAAATTTAACGAAATAGTTAATAGCGACATCTCTAGCCAGGGCTGGTAGCTGTAAAATTACCTAATTGGGTGACGAAAAACTTTCGCAGATTTCTAATAGAGCGCTACGGCTGAAAAGTCGTCGAAAATCAAATACAAGGATCCGACAACAAGTACATAGAAAAAATCCGTGGCTTAGTTGGCACAGCATCTGGCACGGAAGACGTCGGTTCGAATCCGGCTGGATGGAAGGAAATTTTCCTAAGTGTTCGATCTTTGTATTAATAGTTATGATAAATTAAACGTTACTAAGTTAAGGGTGGCAAATTTGGGAACGAATCTGGTATATTGTATTTCATTCACTTTCCGCTAATTGATTTCATTAGAACTTGCCAAATAGATAAAACAAACACAGCGAAAGTCGATAAGCAACTCAAAAGTTTGCTTGGTTGGTTTTTTAATAAAAAAGTTGTAATTATTTACAGTAATGTGTCGCAAGCCCATTTCTAAAATTATTATATAAATAAACGAAAAAATATTAATTCTAGTGTACAATAGCATAATATCGAGATATTTATACATGACAACTAACCAACGGATAACACTAGTTACTGTAGATTAATTTTATTGCAACTGGGCCTTTCGAAAGCGACAGCTTCCCTGCGCACGGGCACCTGTGGTCATAATCATTAATTGAATGACAATATCACGATAATTCGTAGCTATTGACCCAGACTAATTTGGAGGTTAAACGACTGTAGCTTTTGATGATTTATATAGAAATTATTTTGTTTAGTTCCGGATTTCGTTTGGGTTTGACCAAAAGAATGTCAACAAATGTTGTGACGCGAACTGCATTTAGATTATTTGGATGCAGTTGATGTTATATTCAAAGGTAATAAATATTTAAAATATTAAATATAAAAAGGTAAAAACAATAAGGGATTTAGAATGTTGATGGCGTTGCCTCGCTTTTGCAGTGCGTCTACCATGTTTGTAGAGGCGCGGGTTGATGGTTTCAATGCCATGTTATCCGCAAAAAAAAACCATTGCAGGTAGCATGAACATCACTTTATTATCTACTTATCGATCGAATTATCGATTAGGACATCGAATAGTCTCACATGAATCTATTAGATCGAAATGCGATCAAGAGAGTAGCCAGCCACTTTTCATGTTAATTTTGTGTAAGTTTTTATACTATTTATTAGTATTACCACTAACCTACAGTCACTAACTTTTTTTCTACTCCTGTACTTTAATCTGTCAATTATCATATCACAAACCACATCACAAAGGCACTCTTTTTAGTTTTCACTATAATCCTATGGAACTATACAAGCACAGAACTATAGTGAGTTTTAAAAAGGAATGTTATATTTTTGCTAATTAAAAGCCTCCTTAAACGTGACACGTGTTTTCCTGAACAGAATAAAGCGCAGGCCATACCGCGAACGAAGCTAGCTAAGTTAGCTTAGCTCACGTAGTTGCATGCAAAGCTAAGCTAAAAAATACGTAGTAGTGATTATAAATATGTGTGGGGGTTAAGGGTGACAGAAGGGCGACATATTTTATATAGCTATGGTTGGATTAGTTTAGTGAGCTCGGTTAGCTCAGTTCGCGGTGTAAACCGAAGTACGAAAAGATCCCCGGCTACGTGAGCTAAGTTAGCTTAGCTTAGTTCGCGGTGTATTGTATTTTGTAAATACACTAACACCATTGGACCTTAAAATAATCATAATAATAAAATAATCATAAATTAAACATAATATCGGTAGAGGACGATTTTTTGCAAAATGCGAGAAAACTTAAATCTGTTGAGTTCGTTGCTCTCCGACAGCGCACTGGCAACGAAAAATCCGAGAGTAATGATTGATACTATGAACTTGCAATCTGAAAAGTGTTACACGACGAAACGTATTACATTTGATTGAAACGAATTTTTAACCGACTTCAAAAAAGGAGGAGGTTCTCAATTCGACAATAAGTTTTTTTGTATTTATGTATGTTACGCGATAACTCATTTGTGAACCGATTTTGATGGAAAGAGGTTACCTCAGAAGTGGTCCCATTGAAATTTGAAGAAAATATTCCACCTCTAAGGGTGGCAAACTAAGGGATGAATGACTATTGAGGTCAATTTTTTCACGTCACTTTTTTGTCGTTTTACCGACGGGGGAGTGGAATTACAAACATAATATGATAGACACCAATATAGTGAGTAAGTGTGTACTATCCGAGCTTCAGAGACAGTTTCAGATTACAAACCTTATGAAAAATGTTTTTAAAAGTCGTTTGACGGTATAAACTCATTTAGTTTATTTTTTTAATTAGGTCACTTTTATTCGAAAGGTGCGATTTTATAATATCAAGTGACGGGACGAACAAGTCGTGCACCTGATGGTAAGCTACACGCCTGTCCATGACAGTTGCAGTGCCACTCAGAGCTTTAAATCGCAAAGATTACTTATGTCTTAGTCATAACGACTATGTTAAGTCTAAGTTGATAAGTTCACATGTGCACATGCACTGTTTCACCACCACCCTTACTCTTCTAAGCCGGAACACAGTAATGCTGACATTACTGCTTGGCGGCAGAAATAAGTAAAGTGGCAGTATCACCCTGGACGAGTTCTTTTACAAGGAGCGCTACTTATACAAAAAAATTAATTCGATCGGCTATAGGATTAAACGTTCTAGTAAAAGTCAATGGTTCATTCGAACGTAGTTATCACGGCTTGCACCTCTGAGTTTTCAGGATTTATGTGCGAAATTTAAGTAAAGCTGGTCGACGAAGGAATACTCCATGACGAAACCTGGACACATCTTTAAAACAATCCGCATTATATTACAGCTCTAGCTCTTCCATTATGAGAGGAGAAGGCCTATGCCCAGTAGTAGGACTATATGTAGACTAACAATTACTATTTATTTATTATAGCATATTTGAGCTGAAATATGAACGCCTGTAATTCTTGTAGTTGCAATAATAAAATTCGTATACATTGCTTATGTTTGAAAGAAGAATGCTAGGAATATTTATACTCACAATTTTAGTTGTTTGCCGTTTTGGTGGTTTCCTGACAATAAGAACTTTTAAGGAATGGTGAAATAAGATTTTTTTGTACGACAAGTGGCGTTATGGAGATAAAAAATTACGTCCATAACGCCACACAATCTTTAATATCACAAAATTATAGAGCAAAAGTGGTGTAAGCGGCTTACACCACTTTTGCCCTTTGGCATCGTCTGCTTGTCTTGATCCTTGACAT